CCAAAGTTGGCTGGCTCCCAAGGTGAAAAAGGCAGGGTGGGACAGAGTGGCGGGAAAGCTGCTCCTTCCATAGTGGCCTTGAAGTAGAGAGCTGGGGAAGGTGCTACAGACAAGAACACGCCTCCTCCTCCTCCTCCTAACAGCGCGTCGCTATGAGCTCAGTCACCATGAGCAGCTGGATCCATGGATGAGCACAGCACCCCATCTAATCACCTCCCCAATACCGGAGACTTGAAATAACTCAGCGGACTAAAGGGCCTGCAAACAGGTGCAGGGGCCAGGGGGATTTTGATCCCCAGGCCTGCAGTGCTGGTTCTGCCCCCGGAGCGCACTGAGCCGGTGACAGACTGGGCATGGTGGCGCACACCTGTAATCCCAACACTTAAGAGGCTGTAAACAGGAGAATCACTACAAGTCCGATGTAGTAGTGAGACCCTGAGCATCCTGTAGACCCTTCTCTAAAAAAATACAGAAAAAAAGAAACTATTCTCTTCCTTGTAGTAGGAATGACTGCTTGTTCTCCAGAACTTTCCTATCATGAACGTAGAAGAAATATACAGATCCACATCGTTTTGATGTTTTCCTAATGTTTCCAATCAATGTATTTTGAAATAAAAAGGCTCTTTATATTCACTTTCATATAATTCTCCAGATGTTTTCCTCCACATATTGGTGATTAGAAAGGAGATATGGAACTTTCATTCCCTGTCTGTAACAGGTATCATAATGTAAGCTAGACGCAGTTTTATTGTATAAGAATGAACCATTGTTGAGTTTGATCAATTGAAAATGAACTTTGATGTGGTGTATTTGAAAGCTAGTAAATATAAGCAACAGTGCTTAATGAAAGCATCATTTGGTTATGTCAAAAATTTACTTTTTGAAAAGAGTATTTAACTCTCAAAATAGCACACAAAAATAAAAGCTTGCAAAAATGCAATCCTCCCTGTAAAACATTGTTATCTCTGGGGAGGAGAATTGTGTTTTGGAGGATAATTTGCTGTATCATGTACACTGCAGTTGTTCAGTAAGCAATAAAAACCAGTAAATAAAAAATGTCATGATGTTCAACAAGTATTTAAATGCCAGCTTGGCACCATGATAACTAAGTGATCATTATAGAAAATTTGAAAGGTAAATATAAGGAAGACTTTTGGGATGTGTAGCAGAGAATAATAAAGAATACAATAATCAAAACATTTAAGCAGTTTGAGGTTCCTAAGGTGCTTGTGGGCTGGGCCACAGTGTTGATGGCTTGCTGGATCTGCTCTCAGCCTCTGCTTCCTAGATCTATGCTTCCTTCTGGATCCCTTGTGCTCAGCTGAACTCTAAGTTGGCTTCTTGACTGGCCCTAACTGTTGAGGACTGTAACTAATGTGTTTCCAGGGCTAAACTGCTTCCTTTTTAATGGAAAACAAAGAGGATGTGGGGCTTGAAATCTTTCACATGCTGACAGTGGGAATGTGCTTTGGTACAAATATTTTGGAGGACATTTTGGCAATATGTATCATAAGTCTTAAAAATATCTGGGCTTGATGATAGATATCAGAATAGCGCTAACTTCTAAGAGAAAGGGCTGGCCAGATAGCTCAGCAGATTAAAGTGCCTGCTTAGACAGATGCAGAGACCAGGGTTTGATCCCTGGGCCTGCTGTGCTGGCTTTGCCCCTGGGGTGTGCTGAAATGGTGACTGAGACTGGGTGTGGGGTCATGGGCCTGTAATCTCAGCTCATAGGAGGCTGAAAACAGGAGGATCACTACGAGTTGGATCCATGAAATGAGTCCCTGTAGACTCTGTATTAATTACAAAAAAAAAACCTTCTAAGAGAAACTACAAAGGGGGTTCAAGGAAGTCAACTGGGATGTTAGACAGTTTCAATAGTAGGAGTGATGATTATTATACATGTATGAATATATGAGATTTACTAGTATGCATATTTTCAGTATGTATACTTTAAACATGTTAATTAAAATTTTAATTAGTAATGTGTTTGGGATTTTTTGAGTCAATAATCCCACTGTGCTGTTGTATCCTATAGTAAAAAAAGATGCAAAGATTTAGTTCCTGTTTTAATATATTTAGTACAGGGTCCACAGGGTCTCACTATGCAGATTGGATTTGTAGTGATCCTCCTGTTTTCAGCCTCCCCAAACTCTGTGATTACAGGTGTGCACCACCATGCCCAGTCTCATTCGCTGTTTCAGTGCGCCCCCGGGGCAGGTCCAGCACGGCACATCAAGGGTTGAACCCTGGTCCCTGCATCTGCTTAAGCAGGCATTTTAATCCACTGAGCTATCTGACTGGCCTAATTTAGTTCTTTGTTATTTACAATGTTGAAAAACTAGAAACCTCTAAGATCTTCAAACAACAGTGAAGTTATTAGTAAACGATGTTCTACCCACTTAAAAATCTATTACCAGAAAGAGTTCGTATGGGTATTGGGAAACACAAATTTGATCACAAAAGCTTATCACAAAATAGAAAAGAGTAAAGACAAATATCAGTACTTGGTATCTGGTGCTATGGTTATTTTCCTGGTAGCCAAAGAAAATTGTCAGCTGATCATGGGAACCAGTCAATCTTCATGGTGAAATAGCACCCTTAATAATAATTCTGCCAAGTGTGGTGGCACATGCCTGTAATCCCAGCTGAGGCAGGAAGATCACCATAAGTTCGAGGCCAGCTGGAATGCATGATGAGTTCAAAGTCAGTGAACTACATAGTCTGTCTCAAAAATAAAATTCATAGTTCTCCTCGGTGAAGATTCATCTGTTTGTGGTGCCTGTGCTGAATAGTATGTATTGACCCAAGGTGGGTGTAATTCTGACCTCAGTTAGGGTTGTTTGGAGTCTTCAAGGTGTTTCATTATTTTGAAGCTTCTCTATGTCCTTGGCCAACTAAGTCTGGAAACTGAGAGATAGTTGATAGTGACCAGGGCACACATATAATTGTTAAGATATGCATATAACTGTACAATTGTGAATAATTGTGTGACCATCATTGTAAGTATGTGTGTGTGCATGTACATGTGTATATACTTGCAGACAAGATCCTTTTAGCCTATATTCTTGAATTTGGAATCTGGAAGGCATTATGGTAATTTAACTAGTCAAATAGATCATCAAAAGAGGGAGGTGATGAAGTGTTATGGCTATTCACAGATTAACTGTATTAGACAGAGCACCAGCTGGCATTTTTTCTAGTCGTCTGAAAGCTTCTGGGCAAGAGACCTCATTATTGGTTTGAAGAAGACAAGAGAAAAGGGCTGCAGCCTCATTTTTTTAAAGTAAAAAAGGTCCATTCTGCCCAGTGAGACCAGCATGGTACAGCAACAAGTTTATGTTTGGCTTCTTCTGGGATTTGTAGCTTATTGGAGGCTTTAGCAGAGGCAAGCGTCTCTAAAGAAGGTGTTAAACAGTCTGTTCTAGCCTGTATTAAAACCCCTTTTCCTCAAAACTGCTTTCACAGAAGAGGAGTAAGTTAATTATGAAGCCCTCCTGAGAAATCAGTGCTGGTTGCAGGAGTTCTTCACATTAAATACAAGATATTTAGAATGGAAAGAGGAATACATAAGTAAACAGGACTAAAATGCAATCATTCCAAGAGTATAAATATGGGATTTCTCTCTGCCTTTGCAGAGCCTATGGAAACTAATCCACAAGCCAAGCATACTTAAGAGACACACCTCTGAAATATGAGGCATCTTGTCTTTACCAGGACATATATCACAGATTTCTAAAGCACATCTGTAGCATAGGCCTGGTAATAATACTTGAAACAGCAATGGACCAGCTCCCTGAGGTGCCCAAGCTCTTCACAAAGGGCTTTCTTTTTAGCCTTCAGGAAACATCTTTTCTTCCTTTGAAAGGTGGGAAAGGGCAAGGGCCTTTGGTTTCATTTCCTTCCTGGTTAAGGAAGCAAAGCTTCACAATAGCTTAACAAGGCAGACCTGGAAAGAACCACGTACTTCCCTTCATTTCATTGGTTCTCAGGAGAGTTCTATATTTGACTTGGTTTAGGTTTTGTTGGGGAATTAGGTAGACATGGAAGCACCTGCCATAGCAAGAAGAACGTTAACCTGGGAGTTCAACAGATCTAGGCTCAAATCCTACCTCTGCCACTTAATGGCTGCATGGTACACAGGACATTTTCATCTGACACTTTCTTCATCCATAAAATGGGGTTCTTGGGAACTCCTTTTCATTGTATGGCTGCTATAAAGAAAAAATGAGATCTTTGATATAAAAACAATTTGAACAAAAATGCAAATTGAGATGCTGATGCAGACTTCTTTGCCTCAGCTCAGTCTCTGCCCAGTTCTTAGGGGCTTTTGGTTCTATAATTCTCAGACCTGGTGAATAAAGCTGTGTTCTCTCTCTCTGTTTCTGTGTAATTTTATACACTTTGGTCACATCCCTTCCCAGCCTTCATCTTTCTAGACTAAAGAGTCTGCGTGTGTTTAATGTATCTTCATATGGCAGCCTCCCCCCACCATCCTCTTGATTATAGAGTGGCCCTTCTTTGGATCATCTCCAGATCCATTATGTCATTCTGGAAGCACTAAGGCCAGACCTGCACAAGTAAGTGTGTGTGTGTGTGTGTGTGTGTGTGTGTGTGTGTGTGTTCATCTGACACTGTCCCCCTCCCCAAGTATAAATCCTAGAACAGGATGATTGTCCAAGACTCTCCAAATTACAGAGAGGGCACGTTGGCCTCAGGCTGAAGCTTCCTTCTGTTTCTCGGCGCAGCCCGGGCCCCAAGGGGCTAAAACGGCTCCCTGTCTGGCTTGGGAGGCTGGGAGGTGGATAACTAGGATGGGGAGGCCAAGGGAGGGGGTCTTGCGCAAGCGCAGGTCCCTGCACGGACGCCAGAGCTGCTGCCTCCAGGAGGAGAGGGAGGCACAAGAGGAGGGAGGGAGAAGAGGGGAAGGGAGGGGGAGGCGGCACTTGGTCTGCAGCGCTCCACCAGAGAGGCAGTCTCTCTCAGCTCTTGGAGGGGCCGGGAGAGGCTGCCGTAGAGTAGGATGGTCTGCGAGGCTCCCTGAGTCAGAGGCGCTTACAGCAGCTTCGGGGACTGGGGCCACCGGGCGGCTTTCACCATGCATCAGTCCCTGACTCAGCAGCGGTCCAGCGACATGTCCCTGCCCGATTCCATGGGTAAGTCTAACCGCCTTTCCTCCCGGCGGCGGCGGCAGCAGCAAGGAGTGAGTGCACTGCGTGCGCCCCTGCCATCCCAGAGTCCAGAGCAGGAAGCAGGTCTAGGGGCCCCGCGTGCCCCAACGTGTGGGTGGCGGGCCAGAGCCCTAGGGGAGCGGCCCAGCTGCAACGCGGGCGACGCGCGCCAATATAGTGTCGGAGAATCTCTGCCCCGGAGTGCGGGTGTGTGCGTGCTTGTGTGAGTGTGTCCACAGACTTGCAGCCGGTGGTAAACCCCAGCTGTCTGGGGATCAAAACACTTCCCTTCAACCTGCGCCTTCGCTTCGCATTCGACGCTCCCTCTTCGCAAAGTCCTCTCCACTTCTAAGAGCTCACGACTAAGGATAATTAGAAGAAGCAGGATCCTCGCCCCTTCTCAACTCTCTGGAGCCGCAGTGGTGGGGCAGGATGGTTCGCACCTCGCTGATGGGGGGTTGCGCAACTCTGGGGGATGGGCGGGGGGAGGGGGAGGAAGGTTTACAGGAGGGGAATTCCTGAGGAATCACTAAAGACTACCCAGCCACACCATCTGCAGCGGCAGGATCAACGTTCCTTCAGTTTGATTCCTATTCTTTTCCAAATGCACGGAATATGCGTGAGTGTGAAATGGGGGGGGGGAGCGCGAGAAAATATCGAGCGCTAGCCCGCGCAGCTCCTGAAGTCGCGCTTTTTCTCTCCTACTGGAATGGAGGGGGAGGGGCACCTTTCTACACCTTTCCTCGCTGAAACTCAGGGATTGCTACCCTGGAGAACCAACTCAGCTGCCCCTCGAAGCAGCTTTTCTGTAGTTACAAACAAACAAACAAACAAACAGCAGCAGCAACAACAACAATAACAAATATCTCAGTGCCTCTCAGCTCTTAGGCACCTTCCCAAGCTCTATGATTTCACTGGGAGGAGAAATTAATTTGGAGCCCAGGAGAGCGGGAGGGGATTGTCAAATCATGGTCCCACCGAATGTTAACATTTGCCTCGGATGCACTTCAGCCAAATCAAATTCTCTTTTTCCAACATGCTGCAAAATACATTCTGCAAAATCCCTCCAACCCAAATTCCTGCCATCCAGATTGCCCTTGTCATTTAGGATGAATTTGAGGGAACAAGTCGAGGGGAGGGGCAAGAAGGTCCCATCTCCTGCCTAAGCACCCAACTGTTTGCAGAAGACTCAGTGTCAACAAAATTCGTTCACGGAACGGGTCCCAGAAAGTGTGTCTCGTGGAAAGTGGAAAGATCCACATTCTCAATGATTTTGCATATTCAGCACAAGAATTTGCTGTTTTTATTTTTAAGGACAGTTATTTGCAACAGTGTCCAAAGAGGTCAGCTGGGTCTGAATCCAGAGCCCAGTGGTAGTAGCACCAGATTCATATTCTCTCTCTCTCTCTCTCTCTCTCTCTCTCTCTCTCTCTCTCTCTCTCTCTCTCTCTCTCTCTCTCTCTCTCTCTCTCTCCTCTCTCTCTCTCTGCACTCCTTACCTTGGCCAGCTGTGGCGCCAGCGCGCCCCTTACTTCCTCGCACTAAGCTGTTGCGTGAGGGCAGCTGAGTGGCACAGGCAGGGCAAGGGTTCCGCAGAGACATAACCGCTGCATACAACCACCTGCAAACCAGGCCTCCTGGCCCCGTCTGACTGCGCAGAGTGCGCAGACTGGAGGCCCAGGACTTTCGGGGTGCTACTCGACATCCTGTGGGCTGGGAAGAGAAGGAGAGAGTTCTTTCTTGGACTCCCTGGGGGCCCCAGATAATTTTGCATTTGGCAAAAGGTCTGCGCAACAAGCTGAGTGGGCTTTGCCCAGTCTCATCGCTGCGGGAAAGGAACCATAGATCTCACGCAGACGCTGAACCGGCACACACCATGCATTCCGCTTTTTAAAGTCCGCAGACCTATGGCACAAGCGAATTCCTGACTGAAGTGGTAACCCTAGGTTTCCTCAATTTGGACTGGGGAGTCTCCCTGGAGTTCCCTGGCACTGGTCCCACACAATCCAGGCCTGAATCAGCGTCTAGGCTACGTAGGAACTACTCCCATTATCTTTGACAACGCCACCTTTCCTAGCATGTGTGGAGGGGAAGAGTGAGTGGGTGGCGTAGTGTTTCAGCATTCAAGCACTTTTTTGGGGAGGAGGGGGGTTCCTTTACAGTCAAGGCACAACTGCAGCCAAAACAAAATTTAAAACACACACACTGACCCAAAGTGCCTGCACTGTACGTTTGCTAGTTGCCTGGTTGTGAGCGGCTAGTCCCAGCCTCAGAGCTGGACAAACATTGGGCAATAAAGAAGATGGTAATTTGACTCCTGCGCCCCTCCATCCCCTCCCAGCAACCCATCTCTCCATTTCGACAACACTGCCCCCAGGCGCTAAGACATCTCTACTACAGCAGGCATTCCCTCCTGAATAACACATTCGCAGTTCACCTGGAGGCCTAGGATGTCTCCTTCAAAGAACTGACTAAAAGGCTGGAGGTAGTAGTGGCTCTTAGTGCCTTTAAGCAAGTGTTTGAGAGATTGGCAGGGCCTTGAGGCCATTGCGTGGGCAGTCACCTGTTTCCACGGATGCTCAAGATTGGAACTTCCTGGTATCCACCTTGTGTGGCAAAGCTGATCCAGGTAAGTAAATCCTAATAGGTTCAAAAGATCAGCTGGGAGAATTACCACCAGTCAGCACCAACTCTGCATATTGAACAATATACTGGGCCTCCATCTTTACTGCACACCTATAAAGGTTAAACAGCCTACCTACTCTCTTGGGAGGGGTAATCAAGAAGATGTGTAAAGTAAAACACACTTGAATAGAGACACCTTTCTATCTTCTAAGCAATCCACATCTTCATTCCTATCAGATATATATTCCTGGAACTGGTGGACATCATGTGGATTGTGGACCAGACACACAGTTATACTTGTTGCAGTTACAATTCATATACTAGAGGGGTAGTGCTTAGCAACCCAAGGACATGAAATAATGAGTGACTCTACTCATCTTGATCAAGGACAACTTCTTGGAGGTGAATTTTGAGCAGGTTGCAAATGAAAGGAGAGACTCAGATTCAAAGACTGAAATGAAGGTAGGAACTCTGAGGAGAAGGACCAGAAAAGGGGAAACTTGAAAGGGGAGAGAGCAAATAACTGGCTACCTCTAGAACTGTGAAATATACTGATCTCCATGATTCTGAGATAGAGGCAGGGCACTGCAGAGAGGGAGGGCTGCAGGGGTTCTGTAGGGAGGCTGCTGGGGGGCAGGGAATGCTATGCCAATGATATTTCAGATTCTCACTGCTGTTGGTTGCAGGAGTTGTTATTTAAGTAGAAATATACTGGGCACAGAGTGGGCCAGATAGCTCAGTGATTTAAAGCCCCTGGTTAGGCAGACACAGGGACTGGGGTTCAACCCCAGTGTGCTGTGCCTACCCTGCCCCTGGGGCATGCTGAGACCATGACTGAGACTGGGTGTGGTGGTGCACACCTGTAATCCAGGCGCTTGGGAAGCTGAAAACAGAAAGATCATTATGAGTCTGATCTGTGTAGTGAGACCCTGTAGACCCTGTACTAAATACATTAAAAAAAACAACAAAATATACTGCGAACCAAGTAGATGGGATACTAAGGCATATTGGGGTTGTGAGACTAGATGACCAGAAGGTTTTCAGTTCTAGGGAGCCCTTAGATGTGCTCTTTTTAAAAATCAATCTGTGACCATAGGTAATATTTATTCACACACTTCCTTCTACAAATCTTAATGAGAAGAGAAACAATTCTGAGTTGTTCCTTTTCTATTCAGCAAGTACTGACAGCTTCCAAGGTTTTAAAAGTATGATAGATATTGTTTTCAAGTACCTGCTGTTGTTCTGAAGTAGCTCATGATGTGTGTTTTCATGTATGGATTTACTAAACAAAACTGGAATAAGATGGTCTCATGTTCACACATACACTTAAAGGAAGCCCTGACTTATACCCTAATAACAACAGGGTGCAATATTCCCCTCCTAAGATAAAACAACCACCAGTAAAATATCCTGAACAGTTACAATAAGCTGCCTTTTAAGATCCCTGGCTATACCTTCAGAGAATCTACAGGTATGATTTGGTTTAAGTAGATGTGAGTTTTATTAAGGCAAATTGACACTGAAGATAAATTAGGGGTAATTCATCATTTGGAAAGGATTTACCCAGGAATTCTCTAAAATAGTTAACTTCTCAAGTGCAATTAAAAATCATTTTATTTTGTATATAGTAATTATGGTCCTTATAGTGTAAAATAAGGAGTGATTATGGAAATGTGATGGTATGGAGAATAGATATTCAACTGAGTGATGGGAAAATTTTTGTAGCAATTTTACTCAAAGAAAATCCTCACTGGAGGCAAGGCCCCTGGGGGGTTGTAGGATCTTAAGGTTTCTCAACTAACTGAATTTTCAGTTCAGGTTCTAACGCAAAGGGGAAAAAAAAAAGCTTTTCAAATGACACCATGTGGTTTGCTGAGTCACTTTTCTGACCTGGCTCTTGTGCTTTGAAGATTTAGAGTGATATTTACAAAGAAGACCCATGAGCTGTGAATAAGATTAAAGGTCAGTTGATAGGGAAGGCACAGGTGTGGGCTAAGCAAAACATTAGAGACACTGTACATACATCTACTCTCCTTCAGTGTAGTCTTAACGGTTTCATGTGTGAGATACCCCCTTGGTGTTTCAAGGAGTTACCTGATTCTTTCACCAATTTCCATTATGGGGGGCTACAGATCCTGCAACAGTGACAAAGGAGGAAGAAGATAAGAAGGGAAGGTGGTCTTGGTGATTTTACATTTGAGCCCCTTTGTGGAAGCAACTCATGTTCTTACTAAGTATGAATTATCAAATAGGCTTAGGGGTCCTGGTTTAGAGATTCATTTAGAAATGAAATCCAGAGGAAAGATAATTAACATGTGGGTAAACAGAAGAAATAAGTTGTTTACCCAGTCCTTGTTCCCTTGCGGTCTCTAAGCAGTGTGAATCACTAGCTTTGCTCATCTATTTACTCATAATCAGCTCACCATTTGCATCACCAACAGCCTTCTCCCATAAATGACCCTGGTGTCACAGATGTCTCTGGGCTTTATGTCTTTCCACATAGAGGCTGGGCATACATCTCACGGGAGTGAAGCTATTTCTCCCAATTCTCTTTTTCTCACCTCTCAGGGTTAGACTTGTGCTTTACTATGTGAGTGCCTACAAGAGCTCAAACTACATTTATGTTTCTATGTAAAATAGTCCTAGAATAGTACTGAGTTAGAAATGACCCTAATGACTCAGGACTGTTACTTTCTAGGCCGAAATCAAAGGAGATGGCTAGCCCCTTCTACTTCCCGTGAAGCCTTGGGCTGAGATTAGATGGGGAAGACAAGATCCATGGTTGGGTGGGGTGGAACTCCTGACACTTTTCTTTCACATAGGAGGGGTATCTACAGGGTGCTGCAAAGCCAGAATCACCCATCACCACTGAGCCTCTCAGTCTCTCTTGGTTTTTTCTCTTCTTGCCCTGCCTTTTCTTTTCCCTTCCTCCTAATGATGCAGTCTGTATAGCTTCTGTCCCCTACTTATCTCTGAGGATGCAACAAGGCCTCCCAGAATGACTGGGTCTAATAAACAGACTCAAGGACTTTCTTTGAGGCCATAAATGACAGTTAAGTCACCTGGGTACGTGAACCTATCGTAAGACTCCCCACTTCTTCCTTCTCCTCCCCCTCCATACCTCCACCAGAGAACTGGACTTGTAGCACTCCCCATTTCATTATCCTGACACCATCCCCAGCTCCAGGTGGTAGCTCTCCCCTAGTATTTCTTCTTGAGGGGCCCCTCCTCATGCAAGAGAAACACCTGAAGTTTGGAGTGGCACTTCACTCTTTAAAAAAATTAAATTGAAAATTGAGCTGAGATACCATTTTTCTATCTGACTTAATAAGCCTGTTTTGGAAGAAAATATTGGTTTGTGCTATCATGTCTGATAAGCCCTGAGTAGGAGAATGAGTTTCTCATCATTTATATTTATGCCACCTTCACATAAGTCTAAACACATATAAGTTATAATCCTTCCCATCTACCTCCCCGATACATATCTTTGTGGACTAATGGCCTCCAGACACATACTTTATTACACACATTTGTTATGTGGCAAATATGGCCAATGCACCATTTTAAAGTTTATACATGAGGTGGCAAATGTCAGAAATAAATGAAAAAGAAAATCTCAGTACCTGGTTTGGTTCTGATATTTACACTGAAAAAGAAATTTCCTATCTCTAGATCATGAGGGGCAAAAAAACCCTTCTCAGTTTAATATTGGCTTTAAAATATTTTTATTTAATAACTCCATAGAAACTCTTCCCATTCATCATATGCCCTATAATTTGGCCTAAAAATAGTCTGTTAAGTGAGTATGACACATCTTTTATACAATGCCAAATGCACAAAAATTGTCTTGTTTTTATGTAACTGATGAGATTTGTTCTGTTGTTTATTTTCAAGTTGGAAATATTTTTATTATAGAAGAGGCACCTATAATTGCAAAAGTAGAAGCTCTCTATCTCCCCATAATTCCCCTTCCTAGCGAGAACTCCAGTTATCAGTAGGTATAGGAAAATAACCCTTCCTAATAATCTTTTTATACATCTCTTTCCCAAGCTGAAGTGAGCAATTTCAGTTTCTCTGTGTGCTTTCAGGAGCCTTCAATCGGAGGAAACGAAATTCCATCTATGTCACTGTGACTTTGCTTATTGTGTCCATGTTAATTCTCACGGTGGGCCTTGCTGCAACCACCAGGACCCAGAATGTGACTGTTGGAGGCTATTACCCAGGAGTTATTGTAAGTATGAAAAGCTGATGTAAGTCTCTGCAGCTTGCTGGTTGCACAAATATTTTGATGGTTTTCAATTCTGTGTGAGTTTGTAGTGTTTGTTCAGATTTCCTCCTCAGAGCTCTTTTTTTTTTTCTACAAGGACAGCAACTCTGGGTCTGTTAAGAAGACAACTGGACTGAGACTCACAAGAATCTCAGTGCCATCCCTAAGTAGTGTGATCCTAAACAGGTCATTGTATTTTTTAGTGCCTTGATTTTCCAGTTTAAGAGGTATTCCTAGCTAGCAGTGTTAACTCCAGGCTGAGATGCTTTCTTTCTTGTCGTCTGTTTTCCTATACATGATCGAGGTTGTTTGACCTTCCCTAAAATTCAAGAATCCTGGTGGCTTGATGTTCTGCATCCAACAGCACTGATCTTCAAATGAGCCTGATTCCTCTCAGGACAAATGTACAGACATTATGCTCCTAAAGCATGTATATTTACTCATTTATAATATACACATGTACATAGAACTTACACAAACAATGAAAACTCAAACATGTGATAAAAAGGAAATAATAATTTTCAGTGTTTCATACAAACTAAATGAAATGTCACACCAATGTGAAGTTGGCCATTAAAGACAGTGGCTATAAATCTTTATTTCAAATGACCCACTAAATCATTATGGATACTTTTGGCTGGTTTCTTATTAGATTTGATTGGACTGTCATTGGAATCATCCTTTGGTTGTTGTTCAGTCTCACAATGTGGCTGACAAAAAGTTCACCCCAGGATTTAGAAGTTCTGGCTCCGCCACTTTGCCCTTTTCTTGGTGCTCACGTGTGTGTATATTAGTAAGTTCATCTTCAATTTGTGACTTTTCACAGGAATCTCGCCAAGCCTCTTGTCCCCTTAGTTGGAAATACTTTAGTTAAAACTGGGTGGTACAGTCTAGGTTGCATGGAATGTGCCCTCTTCCCAGATGATAGCTCACTTGATCATCTGACATTTGCATCAATGTTGGATGCCAGTGGAGTCAATTTATTGAGTATTAGTAGCACCTAATATCTTTTTTTAGACAGAGTCTTGCTATGCAGTTCAGGCTGGTCTTGAGCTCACTATGTAGCCCAGGCTGGTCTCAAACACATGGCAACTCTTCTGAGTGCTGGGATGACAGGGATGCACCACCACACCTGGCTCTTCCTATTTTAGATGAACAATAAATAGGAAACAGATGTTTTAAAGGTTTCTTGCCATATTCAAGAGGATTGTTTTACCCACACCCGGAGTGCATGCAATTCATTTTGTATATAGTTTGAATTCATTGGATTTTAAAATTCTCATTTACCAGCCTGAACAACACAGGGAATGCCTGTCCCCAAAACAAGAACAAGGACTAGGGAGATAGCTCAGTGGTTTAAGTCCCTGTCTGGCAAACCCAAGGTCCAGTTCTATCCCCAGTATGCACCCCCCAAACCTTCCAAAAGCCAACTCCATTCAGGTTTATGCACACTTCTACTGAATCCAAAAACCTAATTCTGGAGGTTGGATCATATTTTAATATCAACTAAACAGCACCCTAGTTGTAATTGCTAAGGAACAGAAATCAAGCTTAAGATGGTTCTGTCTCTCTATTAAGACAACAAAGAGCTAAGATTATTTGTTGTTGGTGGTTTGTCTCCACCCCCTCTCTCTTTTGAGAAATGAGGGTTGGAGAAACAAAAGGGAGAGAAAGGATTAGAGATGATGCCTCTGACAAGCTAGCACTGTCCATTCCACACCCAGTCTCTTCAGTACCCCTTGCAAAAGTGGGGCTTGGTGTGGGCTGTCTGGGCTGCGTCTCCCAAGAGCTGAAGGCTACCTAAGGAAGTTCTTTTTCAGTTTTTGGGCAGACAGGGTACCCCAGTTGGAGGCAAGTATCCCACAGGCAGCCATTGCTGTTCAGTGCCCTTTGTTAAACGTGTGATGTGAAAACACACCCAGTCCACTTCCTGTGGTGAGGCAAGAAAACCAGTCGTCAGCAAAATTGGGTTTTATTTTTAAACACAAGCAAAGGAGGAGGGAGGAAAAGAGGGGTTATGAGAACATTTTGGTGGCTTAAAAAAGCAATCTATAGGGTCTGTGTGACTTTGTGTGCTTCAGGTAGCTGCACTAGTGAAATATTTCTGACTGATGAGCCAAGATTCAGTCTACGTGGGTGAGGGGAAGGTATATTCTATGTCATTTAAGAGTACAAACTCCTATTCACGAACAGTGCCTGTGAACCTTGTCTATAGAATATCTGACAGTGGGTGGCTAGGTTGGAATACATTAACAAAGGAAGGAGGGTGCATGATTGTTGTTATTCAAGTACGTGACGTTCAGCTAGCACTGGGAGTTGAAGCAGTAGGGGCATGTGTCTGGATGCATGGGTTTCACTAAAAGCTAGCATGGAAGTGTTCGTACGAGAGCTTTCCTGAGTGGACAGTGTGCCCCAGTGGTTTAATCTTTAAAATTTTTCCCAGAATCATTGTTCCTGTAGATCGTTTCTTTAAAAAATTGGTTTCAATGATAGAAAATTAAGGGGAGAAAAAAGCAGGTTGAAAATTTGAAAATCCATTTGAGTTTATGGGTCAAATCATGTGATAGCAAATGCAATTAGGACTCCTAGCTCTGAAACAGTAAACATTAGGCAATCCAGATTTGCTGGGGAATGGAGTGTTTTCACTAATTGAGTAGTTTGGTTATCATGGAGCTACTACATAAACTCTAAGGCAGTAGTCGTTTCCATCCAGGTATGAATAGGAATGGCCTGGTGAACTTCTGAAAAATGCAGATCTCCTCCCTCTCAAGAGATTCTGATTCTGGGTGGGCCCTATGAATCTGAATTTTCTTTTAATGTGCTAATCTTTGGTTGAAGAAATAATACATGTTAAATCTAAATTTTATTTATTTATTTGGTACTAAGAACTGAACTGAGGACCTTGCCTTTGCCAGGCATGCACTATGCCACTAAGCCATGTCCCAGGCCACTATTTCTTTATTTTTGAGACAGATTTGCCATGTAGTCCAGGCTGCCTTTGAACTCAAAGCAGTCCTCCTGCCTCAGCTTCCCAAGTGCAAGGACTACAGGCATGTACCACTACGTAGGGCTAGATCTACATTTTACGAAGTACCCCAGGGGACTAACTAGGTGGACCAGCAGCTAATTGGAAAACTAAAACACAAAAATATGCTTAGTAATAAAACCAGAAGAACAATATTGTGACATTTTAAGATTCTATAGTATCAAATTGGTCTTCTTGAATATAAATTATCATTTTAGAAATCTGCAAAAAAAAAATCGGCTTATTCAGAACTCCAATATATTGGGCTCTGATTAAATGCATTAACAATACATGGGAATTTAAATTTTAAAAAACAGATAAATTAAGGAGAAATTATTAGATCTGTTGTATAGCCGTACTATACAATTCATCTAAATATTGCTGCCAGTTAAAATGTAATTAATTCACTTTGCATAACTGTGCCATGTGAGCATTTATAGAAGCATTTTGTTTTGCCAAACCAGATGAATTTATCCAGTGAGGTACATTATCGTGCTCTGCTTCGCTAGAAGGTAGTACTTGGTATCATCATTCTAAGACATATAGGCAGACATGGATCATAAAAAGATGCGCTAATGTGTACAGGCTGAAGAGTAGGTTTCCAAAAATTAAGACTTACTGACTGTGGAAGTAGCAGTGCAAGTCAGTGGTAAATGCTACACTGCCTTGTGGAAATTTTCACTTTGATTTCATTAATTCTTTAAGTAACACTCATCAAACTTGTATTTTAGCTGCTTATCATTTCTAGAATATTAAATTTATTTAAATGAATTTGTTAAATGAACACTTTAATGATCTAAGCCTAATTCAATAAACAGTTTCCATGGTACAAGTAATACAATAAAAAATGACCAAGAAGGAGAAGAAGAAGAAGAAGAAGAAGAAGAAGAAGAAGAAGAAGAAGAAGAAGAAGAAGAAGAAGAAGAAGAAGAAGAAAGAACT